ATACCCCTGTTCTATCAAACCGATACCGCTGTTCTATCAAACCGATACCGCTGATCTATCGAACCAATACCGCTGATCTGTCAATCTGTCTTCTGTTCAATCGAACCGCCTGTCAAACTGCCTGTCTGTTCAATCAAACCGCCTGTCGAAATGTCTGTCTGTTCAATCAAACCGCCTGTCGAACCGTCTATTGAACCTATTCTATCGCTATCGTTCCCAACTGCATAGAAATGTTCTTTCGTTCGCGACCATCGTCAGGTAGAAATTTGATCCGCGTCAAAGATGAACGTGTCTCGCACACATCTCAGTGTAGTAGTAGTAGTGTCATATACATGTACGAAGGAAAGGGAAAGAAACATAATTTTAAAAATTTCACATTTTATTGATTAAAATATTAAGATTATACATTTTATTGTTTTATTTGATGGTGCGACCACCAGTTATATATTTTAAATACATTTTGTAATGCGCAATTCTTAACATGTTTTCCACAGCGCACAGTATTAATAACACTTAGATTATTCAAAGAAACTATGTTCGGATTCGACGCAAGAACTTTAAACGGAGCGCGGCGCCAATGAGCGCTTCCCACAATCACGAGGAGCGCGTGTGATAGCCGGCGCGCCAATTGTCACGCCTAGAGGAGGTGAGGTGCACGTGGAGGGTTCGTGCCATTGCTGGACGTTGTTTTTTTGACCGGACGTGACGGCGCGGAATCGAGCCTTCTTCCCGCCGAGAAGGGAGAGTAGGCTTGCTGCCGGCCACTCGTGATCTAGACGCAAACCAGGTTACCCTTGTCGTTACGCCTCGTTGAAAGCAATCGCGATAGCTATTCACGCGATCGAAGTCGTGAAGTCGCCGCGCTAACCGTGTCAAGTCGCCTCCCGAAATTGCACTTGCAAGCGATTTCCGCGAACGCGAAATTAAATCGAGCGAATAGAGGGCCTCTGGCCCGTGAGCTACTCTCTCGAAAAGTCCCCTCAGCGAAGGGAACGGACTACGCCACGCCAAGGGGAAGGGAGTGAACCATTGTATCACCGTTGTGTATAATTCGTTCTGTTTAGTTAGTTGAATAAAGAAGCTGTTATTGTTGAATTTTGTGGAGCTTAGTAACCCCTCCTGTAGTCAGAAACAAACTACATATTCGTAATCGGCATCCAGAGTTTCAATGACAACTCTCACATCAAGCATATCATCGAGCCATTCTCGTTTTTATGTCTTTTAACGTACACGATAGCCTCGTCGGTATCATCCTCTTCACTAAACACAGCTGTTGCAATCAAGCGTTTCACCATGCTGTACGGAATCATCCCGTCTTCTTATCTCAATCCATGGTGATAAGCAATCAACCAGGAAGCGCCAGACTTGTCGAATTTTGTTAAAGAATTCCATGGTATGGGAAAAATGTAATGCGAAAGAACTGTACCTCTTCTCAGGACCGCCACTTCTTTTACGATAAATCTCTTCCCAACGGTGAATCCTCTACAAACGTTGGTACAATCATGACGAGTAATCTATCGAAACTGTGTCCTCATCGCGAAATGTCACAGTTTTTATCTCGGATGATGAGAATATTTGCAGAGGTGGCAAGTTATGTGATTTTGCGCACAACGTTGGATAATGGGCAATATTCAATCACGCGATCGTGTAAGATGAGAC